TAACAAGGCTCCTGATGAAGCTGTTGCTGGTGGTATGGGGGCTGCACTTTGAGAACCATTGCCAAAGAGGATCTGGAGACTGACATACCTCAAACTTATGTGAGAAGCTCCACAGAGCAGGCAACATTTGAGGTGGGCCTAGAAAGATAAATAGGGTTTGGGATATCAAATGATGATAGCTGACGGTTATTGAGTGCTCATAATAAGCTGGGTGCTGAGTCTAAATGCTCTACTTGCATTGTTGATTTAATCCTCAGAGATATCAGATGAAGTAGATATGGTTAATGTCCATAGAGGCACTGAGCAAATAGATGACCCAGTGTGCTTTACCAGCTCAAAATAGTGAAGGGACACAGCACAGGAGATGTTGCTGGGGGTTCTCTAAGAGCCCCCAGCTGGAAGTCCCCTTCTTCTGCCCAGATCTCAGCTTCTATTCCAAGCCCCCCAGTAGGAGTTACCATATGTCCAACCCTCCCCCTCCCCTAGAGTGCAGGGACTGGATATTTGTGGTCTTGGATTTGATTTCCTAGTAGGGCTTAGGACTGGCATTGCTTCCTTATGACACAGCCAAGGAAGGCCATGGGAGGAAGAGGTGCTTGTCCACCTTTCCCTGTGATGTATCCAAGCTCACGGAGGTCCTTCCTGGCAGGGGAAAGTCTGTGTGGAAAAGCGCTGACTGGCAAGTGGGGGAACCATGAACCATTCAGTATCACTGGACCATGACAGGGAAGGAGGGACAAGAGCAAAGCTGTAGTAACCCTCAATTCCCAGCATCTCCATGTAGCACTTCAGGGTCTCTTTTTGTGTAACCCTTACCAGAAGGTGTCACAGAGGTGATGAGGACAGTAATGAGCGACTTAGGGGCAGCCAAGGGCCAACCCTACAGGATCCCTGAGCTTTGGAAAGAGGTTAATTATCTTACTTTCAGAACCAGTGGGGGCAGCAGGCTCCAAGAGGGCAGAGGGATTGCCTGATGCTCACCAGAGGCTCCTTTGCAAGATGTGAGGCTTCAAGTTCACTGTCAGGAACACACCCTGGAACAGGAAGTGGGGAGGTTGAGAAGTCAGGGCAGAAGTGACACAGAAGTCAAAATTCCCCAGCCAGATACATCAGATGTTACTGAGAGAACATTAACTCTGGACATGTGGAGACTCATCAGGAATGGTCACAGGATTCTCATGTTGTGCACACAGATCCTAACAGAGAGACCATGCCATTGAGCACATAAAAACACAGGTGCACATGGACAAACTCCAAATCCCAAAAGCCACAGTTGTTAAGGGACCAGGTTGAACTCTTCAAGCCACTCCAGATCATTTCCAGTATCCAGAGTCGGGAATCTGAGCTTCGCCCTCTGCCAGGGCTTTCCTAATTCCAATCCCTTTCTGTGTACTAAAACTTTCCAGGTATCTTCCCTGCTCCCCAGTACACATTTATATATATTGGATATACTCATTGGGTATAAAATCCAGTCTGTGGTGGAGATGAGGGAAAAGGGGAAGAGGGAAGGGGAGCTTCTTTAGGACAAGCACATGCTCCCCCCACTTCCTCCACCCTTCATCCTTCCCTCACGCTTCCCTACCTTCTGGAAGACTCATTACTTTCTGTTTTAAGATCTTCCTATTCTATTCCCCAAATGGTGCTCTCTCCCAGGGGTCTTGTAGGTGCAAAAGGCTCCTACTCTGCCTGCTTCTTTCTACTCTGTCTTGCTACCTCCTATTTCTTGTCATACACTCACACCAACCAAACTCATGAGCTCCAGTTTTCCACTGATTTTCTGAGGAAAGATACTACTTATCACCTGGCCTCAGCTCCTCTTTACGGTTGGTGATGACACATGAAGTCACAGGTTGCTGGTATATGGGGTGGGAGATTTGATTTCATCTTTGGTCTGACTCTTGATCTGAGCATTTTTAAAGAGTATCTCTCAGCATAGAATAATCCCACTCCAGTCTTTCTTTTCTCCTGTTTAACAAAGATATAAGTGGAAAGAACACTAACTAGGGAGCCAGGAAGCCAAGTGTCTAGCCCCAGCTCTGCTCGTGCCTTGCTATGTGGCTTTGGACAAATAACCCAACCTCTTTGGGCATCAGTAGCCTCTTACTGTGGAACATTGAAGCAGCACCCCAGGATTTTAAAAGCTTTTTCCCTTCTGTTCTATCTATGATCTGGTACCAACTTGTTTCTTGTCCTGATTGCCCTGGGGCTCCTGCCCCCTTAGGATGGGTTTCATGAATAGGTAGAGTAATTAGATGGTTGTCTCTGTGACCCTCAAAGCCCTCTCACTGTTCAGGTTGCCCTTTCCCTCCCTCAGGCTCCTGGAATGCAATGGAGGTAGCTCACCTGTCATATTTTCCTCTGACCAAGGAACGTGATCTGGAGAGTGAAGAGAAGCACAGTATGGAGCTGGGGATAGGTGAAGGAAGAGTCAGATTTTTGGTGAGGTGGAGCCACAAAGGCATTCCACAGTCAAAAATCCTGAGGGAACTTGAAACCTCTCCCATCCAATTCAAGAGGCCAAGATTTGCCAAAGGCTAACCAGGTGCCAACTTTGGTACCTGAACCAGGGATGTCATGTATCCAGTGATGACAGTGTGTCATTACCCCCCTTTCCTAAACCATGGCCCACATTGCTAATTTATTACAGATTCCTCCCTACTGAATTAAATTTGGCCTCACAATACCTCAGACAGCCACAGAGATGGCGAATAGGCAAAACCTGTTTAATCACTGTCCAAGACCTTATTGGTTCTGACCCTCAGTCACTTAGTGCAGACCTATCCTCAAATCCACCTTTCCAGGAAGTGCCCTGCTCAGTGGGCACTCTAGGGTGGTAAGGATTTGGCTGGAAGGGGGGCTGTCTGACCCCTGCATTCTGGCCTCCAAAGTCCTAAGTGTCCTGGGTTCCTTATGTCTGACCACGTGAGATGGGAAGGAGCTAGGAAGTTTCCCAGACCTCTTCTGGATATCTCACTCACTCATTTAAGATCTGAGCCACTGTTCTTTGGATGCTGCCCCCTTTACCAGGAGAAGTGGCTGTCTTCACTGGGTGCTGCCCAGCTCACAGGGGCCCTTGTGCCTACTGGCACCTGAGTCATGAATGTGGATGAGGCTTGCCTTCTGCTTTCTCACAGGGAGCAGCTGCTGCACTAAAAGCAGCGGGGTTAAATTTGCATGAGCTTTGCATGTAACTGTGGCTTTATTTTTGGAAGAGAGAAGGGCAGGTTGGAATGGGTGGGTAATCATGTTCCTGAGGAGAAATGTCAATCATCGCAAGCTGCCCACTGGGATGGAGGAAGGCTCTGCCACAGCTGAAAGCTGCGACCTGCACACAAAAGGCTGCCAGGCAGAATGGCTTTTGATTCCTCCTGAGCAGTGGGAAGCAGAATTGCTTCCGATTGTTCACCCCAGTGGAATGACTCAGCCTGCCAGTGATTTCCCTTTCACTTTCTGCCTTTTCACAGACCCAAGTGCACTTAACTGAGAGCTGCGTGGGCTTCTGCTCCCAACCCCCGGGCCACATGCTCCCCCTCAGACCTCAGCCATTCCTCATGCTGCCCACACTCCCCCCACCCTCCTCCTCCTCCATTCTCACCTTTTCATTCACCCGTTTACTCAGAAAATATGTCCTGAGCTTTGCACATGGAGCCCTCCAGGCAACCAAACTTCGAGGACTTGCAGTCTGAGCTGAGATGATTAACCTGCCCCAGCCCTGGCCCCAGCCCCAGCCCCCAACCCTCATCTAGAGCAGCAAATAGGAGGAGAGGTCAAGAACAGGAATACAAACACTGGAGTTCTAGATAAGAAAAGCTGAATCAGTCAGTGTAGTAGGGGGAGGAACAGAGGGTCAGGGAGAGAGTCATCTTGAAAGGGGAGTCAATTAACTCTGGGCACGTGTCCCATTTAGCCCCGGAGAGACCTCTGCTGGGGAGCTGGCTAGGGGCCCACCCACCAGCCACCCCCAGCCCCCGCCCCCTCCAGCCCCAGCTGGCAGATGCCCCAGAGCTGCTCTCACATCTCTGCAAGCCCCAGCTGCCCTCTTGGAGGCAGAGAGGCAGGTCTGGCTGCTGGGCAAGTCCCCATGAATCCAGCCATGCCTGCCACAGGGAGATGGGGTGGGAGTGGGGGGTGGTAATCTTTCCCTAAAGACCTGCTTTTTTTTTTTTTTTAATTTTTTTATTTGAATGTAGCTCACACACAATGTTACATTAGTTTTAGGTATAATACAGTGATTTGACAAGTTTATCCATACTCACCACAAGTACAGCTACCATCTGTCACCATATACTGCAATTACAATATCATTGACTATCATTGACTATATTCCTTATGCTGTGCCTTTTATTCCCATGACTTGTTCATTCCATAACTGGAAGCCTGTATCTTCTACTCCCCCATTTTGCCCATCCCCCCTCCCCTCTGGCAACCACCAGTTTGTTCTTTGTATTTATAGGTAAAGACCTGCTCTTTTAACTTCAAGACATGTGAAGCTCCAGTTCTAGCATCTTTCGATACCGACTTATAATTTCACAAGCACTTGGCTTAAATTCATCCCATGTGTACCATTCTTCTTACTGGGGCCAACCATTATCAAATATGTGATTTCATTTAATCCTGTGAATACCTGCTCTGTGAGTTAGGTATCAGCTATGCTCATCTGACACAAGGAAATAGAGATGCTGGAATGTTAAATCTCATGCTGGATGGCAAAACAGATCCATCAATCTGTGATCCTTTGTTGAGGGCCTAATGCGATAATGCAGATAGAACATACCACTATGTAGGGGGCCTAATTGAATGGTATCTGATGGTTCCTCCTATGGACCCACAACTGTGCAGGCACAGATCCTGTCTTTGGGGACTTTGCTTAAAGGAGCAAAGAAGTCCTAGCAGGTAGGTCCAGAAAGTGAACTGTTTGTGTATCCCAAAGCTGGGGTGAGGCAGAATTAGAACTAGAACTCAGCTTTCCTGACTTCCCACCAAGCATCTTTCCATTATAGGACTCTCCACAAGAACAGCAGTTCTCTGCACTTTGGGGCTATCAACACCAAGCAGACAGAGAAGCAGGAGGGAAGACTGTGAAGACAATGCCAGAAACAGGGTAACCTGACTGCCCAGGCAGTGTCTTCTGCCAGGTATCTGGTGTGTGTGTATGTGTGTGTGTGTGTAGGGGGGGGGGCTGTCTTAGCTCAGGCTGCTCTAACAAAATACCACATACTGGGGGGCTTAACAACGGACATTTATTTCCCACACTTCTGGAGACTGGAAGTCTAGGATCAAGGCACTGGCAGATTAGGTCTCTGGTGAGAGCTCTCTTTCTGGCTTTCAGATGGCCACCTTCTTATTGTATTCTCACTTGACAGGAAGAGAGAGGGAGAGACAGAATGAGAACAAATGAACAGAGCAAGCTCTCTAGTCTTTTCTTGTGAGGACACCAATCCCACCATAAGGACCCTATCCTCATGCTCATCTAAAACTAATTGCTTACCTCCTAATACTATTGGTCACATTGGGGGTTAGAACTTCAACATATAATTTTTATGGGGGACACAAACCTTCAATCTGTAACAGGCAGACAATACAGTGAGAACCTTTACCTCACTTCCATACAAAAGAAAAAAAATTAAAAAGCACTCATGTGCTGGGGGTAGAGAGAGCTGGTTCCAATTCAGCAAACTCCTGCCAGTCCCTCCTGTATTTTCAGTTAAACCAGTGCTGCTTTTTAACCTCTTTTTATTTAGGTGTACCTGTCTTGTCTCTCAACCAGATCCTTAAAAACAGACACTGCTTTATATTTCTGTTCTTGGCCAAAAACTTGGAACAGGACTGGGAAGTGAAGGAGAGGGGAAACTTACTTTGCCCAAGTGGCCAGTTGACTCAAATAGAGTCTAAAAGATGGAAATTTGGATTGAAACCAGATTTGGATTCTAGGTTTGAAGACTTGGCTTCCTATGTATCTGTTGTGGGACCTCAGTTTAAGTCATATATCCTCCCTGTGCCTCACCTTCCCTTCCACAAGCTCGCTCAGTAAATCCCTGTGCTCCCTGTGAGCTGACTTTATTAAAATCATGTATTGAGCACCTACTGTGTTCTTAGCACTGTGCTCGATACTGTGTGGGATACAAAGAAGCTTCAGCCCTTCCTGCCTTCAGGAAGGTTTAAAAGATAATTGGAGAGATAACCGTTCATCCCTGAAAGGTTAAATAATGCAGGAGCCATCACGAGGCCTTGAAAGCTGAGTGCCTAGTGAGCCAAGCACTGAGTAGCAAATGTGGGCCCAGCAGAGAGGCTTCTTGTGGTCTGCAGGTCTTCCCCTAGGGCCACACTAGCCAGGCCTGGAAGAGGGCCATATTCTTCCTTTGAGAGGAAGCTACAGTTTCAGTACCAAATCAAGTTCCTTGTGAGGCCTTGCCCCTCTTTTTCTCAGCACCCAACACGTTGCTTGGCATATGGTCCACCTTGAGGGACAATGTAAATGAATAATAGTGTGAAGTTCTCCAACTTCCACAGATGGAACTAAACATGAGGATGCATAGGTATGGTTCCCATGGCTAAGACTCAAAGTTATCCTAGACTGGTGACATCCCACCAGAAGGAAGGAGGCAGTTGCAAGCAGAGCTCTGGCCCCAGCCCAGCAACCACCAGCCATTCCTGGAGGCAGGTCAGCTCCCCCATCTATGGCTGGGGCCCATGTGGAGCCTACAGTGGCTTCCTCTGCCTTCTCAGTCACTATACCCACTGAGTGATCCTCTCTGAATGGTGCAGCACTGCCAGCCCACAGGATGGAATCCCATTTTTATCAGGCAGCCTTACACACACACACACACACACACACACAAACACAGTCCCCACAGCGCCTCTTTACACATGTGGCCCACATAGAGCCCCCCCCCCAAACTGGAAAATGGAACCCAATTGGCCCTATTCTATTGGTAAAATGGGAATTTTGAGTCCAGGACTCCTGATGTGACCTGGGCAAGTCCCTTCCTTGCTCTGGGCTTCCATGTAGGCTTTGTGTAGTAAAGGAGTTGGGGTAGAGGATCTCTGAGGTCCTACTATCTCTAGCATTATGAAACTTTGACCATGGAAGATGCTGCCCTCATTGTCCAGACTGCCTCAGAGCAGGGAGGCCCTCCATCACTTGCAACAGGATGATCTCTCTGTTTAGTCAAAACTCCTTTACCCCCTCCCCGCCCCCCCCACTCCATCACAGGGTTGCTGCCTCTTGCCTCCGCTCTGCCAGTGGTACCCTCTTATTAATAACAGCAGTGTGCCACTTCCTCACCCCAGAGTAATATGGTGAAGTGTGATTTGGGGTTGCTGCCCCATTCTTACTGCCCTCTTGTGATGTATTGGCCAATAAGGGTCTCAGATGTCACCTCTCCTAAAAACTAGACATCTAAGACTCAAAGAAAATAAATCCTAGAAAACTTTCCACCCATGTGGAGAAGTAGTGATATACAAGAGTATTTTAGCAACAAAATGGAAACATCTGAGTAGGGAGGAATGAGTGAAATGTAGTAGGATACTACTGCACAGCAGGTAAAAGAAGGAACATGAACTGGTCCCAAATATATCATGTTGAATAAAATAATCAAGGTTGCAGAATGATACATACATCAGGATACCATTTATGTAAAGTAAAAAAGCAATACCTATACTATTCTTTATGTTAAGAATATTTAATGATTAAAAAAATGTACATACGTAATCCACGATAGGGATTCTCCCTGGGGAGAGAGATACGGAGGAAAGGAGAAAGGAAGAAGTAATGGGGATTTTAACTTTGAGATGTTTTATTTCTAAAACAAGTAGCATTTTAACAATTGTCAATTCTGCACAAGTTACTTAGATTATTTTTATAGTATTTCAGTATTTTACAAAGGGATTAAAATTAAAGTTAGTGGATGAAGAAGGCTCTAAGAGCAGCATGTCAGGTACCAGAGCAAGCATTGGTGAGATACCTTGCCTGGAGGGAGCCTGTTCATCACAGTCTAGGTGGCTGCCCCCTCCAATGCCTGCTGCCTTTCACCTTATGGACCCTCTTTGAAGCAGTTCCAAAGTCTGTTCAAGTCTTAGGAAACAGTGTTGCAGGAACCTGGAGTCTGAGCATGGGAGGGTGGGGTGGAGGAGGACGTGCACTCGGGTGATACAGCAGTTTCTCTGGTTTCACTTCCTTTCCTTGCTCGCATCTCAGGGAGTCATTAGTTAAGTCAGTAATCTAAGACTAAGCTATTTGTTCCTCCCCAAAGTCTCCAATGAACACTGGGCTTTGGCATCTTGGTGGGAGGGTGCCAGGCAGAGTGCAGAGATGTCCCACAGCAGGGCAGTGGGTTCCTGCTGGACCTTCCTGCAGGACAACTCCCTGGGCAGTGACTGAGAGGGGAGGAGAGACAGGGGGAGGGGAAGGAGGGAGAGAAGGTGGAGCGGATGGAAAAATAACCCTTCCGGAGGCTGAGCGTGCTGATCTTGTGAGCGACCTCTCCAGACTGGGCAAGGGCAGAGGAGACAGTGGGTAAAGATGCTCACTCTTCCTAGGCCAAAAGTCTGGATTCCTGTGGGCAAGGCCATAGCTGCTTTTCCTCAGGGTTTGGGATGGGAGGGTGAGTAATATTCTTTCTCACCTTCCTGAGTCTAGACAGACCCCTTTTCAACTCCATGTCTCCATCTCCACATTCCATAAAAGGGGATCAGAGAGATATGTCGCTCTGGCATGAGCCCTGGTTTCTTTGGGGAAGGAGAGTGCAAACTGGTGTGGGGGAAAAGCAGCTGTGCTGGGAGTAGAAGCAGCTCAAAAGGGAGGGCTTCCCAAGATTCCAAGATTCCAAGATTTCTGGTCCTGTTGTAGCAGCCATACTGAGGGCAGGCAGGGGGTGGGGTCAAGTAGGGGACAGGGAGGACTGGCCTGGTACTGGGGGGGAAGTCTCCTGAATTCCCTGGGGCCAAATTTTGAGAAGTATAGGCTAGGGGGTCCTTTTCTACCAGATGTTTTTGGCTGTTCTTTTCTTTTCTTCCCTTCTCTTAAACCTGGAGTCTAATTCTTGTTTGACTCTTTCTGGAAAGTCAGTAGGAGGTCATGCAGGAGAATGTTGCTGTAACATGCTCAGTGAGAGGTTCTATGGCTCCTTTATTTTTCCTCTCTTGTCCTCTTCCCTCTTTCTTTCCCCTTCTTGAACCTCCAGGATCTGCGTGATTGCTTATTTTTTACCCTAAGTACGTACAGTACTTTGGGCCAGTAGGGATTTGTTTCCCAGGAATACAAATGTGCCGCTATGCCTTGTCCTTCCTGAGTACATAGATAGCAAGTCTGGCAGGGGTGGGTGGATGGGAAGACCTAGGGTTTGGGAACTAGGATGGATCATAGCCACATTTTCTGTGATGCTCTCTCCAAGTTGATAAAAGAACAAGTCTAGACACTGAAAGGTAATTAGTTTAGCTTCAAGTGCATCTGGAGATAATCTCAAACTTTAGAGCTCTTCTCTGTGTCAAGACCTAGGAAATGGAGAATAGAGATCTGGTGCTATGGGACAGGAATGCACTCAGGGGACCAAAGGCCACCATCCTGCACCCACTCCTCTCCTGCACTCCCTGGCATCATTTGTCTTCCTCCTCTCAATCCTCTAGGGCCTAGCACAGTATTCAGGCATCCACATTGCTACTCAGGTGAACCAAGAAGCTTACCTATTCCTAAAACCTTGTTGTCATCTTCCCAAAAGGGAAATGTGACTATGGCTAGAGGCCACGGACCCTGACTTCTCCTCCAGGCTTTCTCTTCCCCATCCCTGGAAACTTATTTTGTTATTCACAATGGGAGCCCTAACATCTCTGAGCCTTACCTGCAGTCCCCAGCATTGTGCTGTAGCATGGAGACCCTGGAATTTGGGTCTAGGTTCACGTCCCAGCTTAGCCACTGGCCAGTTAAATGACAAGGGCCACATCATGTAACCTCATGCCTCACTTCCTCATTTTGTTCTAGGAGCTATAGATTTGAAGTCTTTGCTTTCATAGAACTTATATATTCTGGTGAAGATGCACACAATAAACAAATTAAAAAATAATATTGTTTCAGGTTAAGCAATTGTTATGAAGGAAATAAACAGGCTGGTATAACAGAGAGTAATGGGGGACTTGGATTTTTTTCAAGGGTAACCATAGGTCACTGCAGAGGTAATATATTTGAATTTAGAACTGAAGGATGAGAAAGATCTGTGTGAAGAGCTAAGGAAAGAGAATTGTCAGCAGAGGTAGCAGCAGGTGTGAAAGCTCCTCAGTGGGGAAAGGCTTGGTGTGTTCACCAATAGGGGAGAGATGAGTCTGGCTATCCTTTCAGATGTGAGCAAGGAAAGAATGGGACGAGATAAGATTGGAGCAATAGGTAGAAACCAAGGCCTGCTTATTCTAGGAACAGTTCGAAGCTTTGAAGGGTTACCATCAGGGAGCATGACACTTACACTTCAGCTACTTAAGAAGAACAGACTGGGGAAAGACAAATTTGGAGGCCGTCTCAAGGATCGCATGAGAGGAGATGGTCCCGGAACAGGACAGCCATGAACAGATTTATGTAGCATGTCTGACGGATACTATAGTTATACTCCAGCTATGCTGTATGCTTCTTGAGGGTAACACCCTCATCTTGGCCTTCAGTTGATCACACATGCATTTGTAGAACACTAACCATGTGCCCAGCACTGCCCTTGACTTGTTAGTTTGCTTCATCCTCATATTGGTCCTATGAAATAGTTATTTTTTCCAATTTATAAGCAAGGAAACCTCAGAGAGGTTAATTTTGAAATTCATATCTGTGTGAGGCCATAGCCAACTGTCTTATCTCTACAACATTGTATATATAAATGTTCATAAATGTGTACTGGATGGGCAAAAAGTAAGTCACTCATTGCCCAAGTGGTGTAGTGCGCAGAGTGCAGGAGAGGCTTTTGGCTAAAAATAGCTTCCCTACATGGGACAACGGTAGAATTTTTTGCTTCTTAGGATCTGAAGGCCCAGTTAAGCAAGAGATGGAAGATGTGGGGGTGAAAAACACATTTTGTCATCGTCAACTGGTAAATTAGCAGAGGATCTCTGTACTCCTGAGTAACATCATTGGGGATTGGGATGCAGGAAAGTTGCATCCCAATGGAACGGAGAGCACTAGTTCTGGAAGATGAGGTGAGGCATTGAAGATAACTTGGGGATGAAGAATGCTGCAGAGAACAACGACAAATACCAAGGAAAATACCTGCCAGTTATGGGGTGTCTATTGTGTAGGCATTTAGTAAATGTACCAGGCCTATTAGCTTATTTTGGTGTCTCATAAACTTCTCTTAACAATCCTGTGAGGTAGGCATAACTGTGTTTCCTGGATTCTAAGAAACCATCAACTTAATAAAAGCTTTTCAAAGAAAGCATACATTGTACTTACACCATGATGTCTTGTTGTGTTGTGCCTCTACTAGTGGAATATAGAATGCATTCATTCATAACATAACTACTTTACAGTTCAGGCTAACAATGCAAGTTTGAATTCAAGCCTTCATATTCAGAGTCTGAAGAGTCCTTTCTTCCACTCTGCACATACAGTGCCCTATAACCTGCCTGGGACTTCTTTCACACTTTTAGGATTAACGGTGTAACTTAGAGCAGAATAAAGAATACAAGGTTTCTTCTGCATTTCCTATTTTATTCAACTCATAGTCCCCCCACCCCCATCATCTATCTTTTAACTAAGAAATACTCCTTCACAATGCATGACAACCACATAGATTTTCCCAGCTTTGAAAGTCATGTGGCCTAAGCTTAGAGATTTGTCCAAATTTGCAAATGTGCTGGTGTTGACATCCCAATGTATTCCTCTGTGTGGTGACTGGCAAGGTTGTTGTTATTCTCAGCATTGGTTATAAAATGCATTCCTATTACTTTTTTTTAAGTTTTTTATTTTAATTCCAGTATAGTTAATGTATAGTAGTGATTCAACACTTTCATACTTACTGGGTGCCCATCACTGACGAGTGGATTCCTTAATCTCCATCATCTATTTCACCCATCCCTGCACCCACCTCCCCTCTGGTAACCATCACTTTGTCCTCTATAGTTAAGAGTCTGTTTTGTGGTTTGCCTTTTTCTCTTTTTTCCCCTTTGCTCATTTGTTTTGTTTCTTAAATTCTACATATGAGTGAAATCATATGGTATTTGTCTTTCTCTGACTGACTTATTTCACTTAGCATTATACTCTCTAGCTCCATTTATGTCGTTGCAAATGGCAAGATTTCATTCTATCTTAGGGCTGAGTAACAGTCCATCATTCATATATATATATATATATATATTTCACCTCTTCTTTATCCATCCATCCCCCTCGGGCTGCTTCCATAGTTTGGCTATTACAACTAATGCTGCAATCAACATAGGGTACGTGTATCCCTTTGAATTAAGTGTTGTTGTATTTTTAGTGTAAATACCCAGTAGTGTGATTCCTGGATTGGGCATCCCTATTACTTTTAAAAGCATTTTAAACTTCTCAACATTCGGGGGTACAATTATTTCCCTCTTCTTTCTCTGCGGAATCCTCTCCAGTCAGGCCTTGGTTTCCACCCCTCCACCCAAACTGCTCTCGTCAAGGTCAGTGACAACCTACCTCCACATGGCCTGACCTGTTGACCAACTCTCAGTCAGCAGCAGCAGCACCTGACACCATCCTTACAAAACAGTTTCTTTCTTAGGTCTCCTCTATCAGTCAGAGCCTTCTCAGTTTCTCTTCCTCATTCCTCCTCACCTTCTGACCTCCATGAACCAGTCCTCAGACTTCTCATCTTCCCGCCTTCACTTCCGTAGTTATGTCACCTAGTTGCATAGCTGGCTTCTATAATCAACAGCTTTTACATGGAAATCTGCAGTTCTCCACCCATCCTACTGCCTACTCTATAGCACTCCTTGGATGTCTAATAGGCTCTGCAAACTTAATGTCTTAAACCAAACTCCTATTTTCCACCCCCACCTCATCCTAAACTGGTTCTTTTTGTGGTCTTTTGTACCTCAATAAATGGCAACTTATGTCTTCTAGTTGCTTGGATAAAAATATTGAGGTCATCTTGACTCCTCTCTTGCTCTCATTCCCCGCATCCAGTCCTGTAGCATATCCTATCAGCTGGACTTTAAAATTACATCTAAAATGTAATCCACTGCTACCACCCTGGCCCAGTCGTGTTAGTCACTCGCCTAATGTAACTAGCCCACCACTTCCACCCAGGCCCATCAGCAGCTCCTTTTCCACCCTGCAGCCAGAGTGACCCTCTGCAGCCTACGATCAAGTAATCAACTGCTTAAAGCCATGTAGGGGCTCCTCAACTCAATCAGAGTTAAATCCCAGCCCTATGCCCAACCAGGCTCTATGTTTCCTGGTACCTGCTAGTTTTAACTTCTGCCTGTCCTATGCCCCCCACCCTCATTGCTAACTATTCTCCAGCCAGACTGGTCTCTTGACTGGTCTCACATATGCCAAGCACAGTCCACCACAGGGACTTAGGGCTTTTGTTCTTGGGGCTTCTGAGCTTCTTTTCTCTTCCCCCAGATTTCCACCTGGCTTGCTCACTCATTTTCTTGAGGTTTCTTCAAATGATACCACAACTGAGAGGCCTCCCTTGTGCCACCCATATAAAATAACCACCTCCCAGAATTCTACACTTACTCTGCTTAGTTTTCCCCCATAGCACATACATCACTAAGAATAGTAGACACTGATTTGCTGATGGCCTGTCCACACTACTCTGAGCACAAGTCCCGCAAGTGCAGGGACCGTAGCCGTGTTAGTCACTACAATATCCCGGGACTTAGAGGAGGGCCATCCCAAAGGAGGGTCTCAGTGAATGTTTGTTGAATTAGCAGACAAAGGAAGAATGAACAAAGAGTCCAGTAACAGTCAGGGCTGAGCTTTCGTTAGGAGAAGCATGCTTTCTCTACTGCTCAGATCTAGCAGTCTGAACCAACTCCTCTCCAAGTCACCATTGAGGACTGTGCAGTGACTGTCCCCTCTCAGGCTGACTTTTGCCTTCTGTCCGCTTCCAGGTGTTCAGCTCTGCCAGGCTCCTCGAGGCCTCTGCTATGACCACAGTTCCCTCGTGGTACCAGGACTGCCCTTTGCTGCCGCAGCCCCACCAGATCCCCGTTCTGCCCTATCTGTCCTTGGCCCCAAGCCAGCATGGGCAGTGTCAGTAGCCTCATCTCTGGCCACAGCTTCCACGGCAAGCACTGCCGGGCTTCACGGTACAAGCTGGGCAAATCCTCCCATCTCAAGAAGCTCAATCGGTATTCAGATGGGCTGCTGAGATTTGGCTTCTCTCAGGACTCAGGCCATGGCAAGTCCAGCTCCAAAATGGGAAAGAGTGAAGACTTCTTCTACATCAAGGTCAGCCAGAAAGCCCGGGGCTCCCACCACCCAGATTACACTGCACTGTCTAGTGGGGACATGGGCGGCCAGCCTGGGGTGGACTTTGGCCCGTCCACCCCACCCAAGCTTATGCCCTTCTCCAGTCAACTAGAAATGGTAAGCAAGGGTCTCTGGTAAGGGTGGGTGGGTCGGAAAACCAATAGAGACAAAATGGGGGTAAAGAGCAGGGAGGCAGGGAGGGGAATGGAGGCGGTGACACTAACATTTAACCCTCCGAGAGGCCAGAGCAGTGGTGGTAAGGGCGGAAGTGCTCAGTTACACCACAGAGATCAACAGCTGGACGAGGGAATTGAAGCACTGGTCAATCCCCTAATCTGGAAGCCCTGGGTGAGCCCTAATCAAAGAGCAAAGGGGAATGAAAGCCTTTCTGAGCTCTACTGGAATGCAACTGGTTGTCAAAGCAGGACCAAGAGCAGCATTTTCAAGTGCATGGCAAGAGGAGGGAGCTCTGTTGTCTCTGTAAGAGCCAATGGAGAGTCCACTTGGAGAGAGCTAGCCGCTTCTTTGCTAGCAGACTCCTGGAGGTGGGCCTTTCCCTCACTCGCTCCTCTGTGGTGCAGCAGCTCCTCACTCAAGCTGGGCCTTGGAAATATCTTTGGCTGCTGTATAAGAGCCAAGTTTGTCATCATCAGGTTAGCAAGGATGAGATTAAAAGAGCCCTACATACTCAGGAATCCAGCCCTTATGCCACCTCAAGCTTTCATGGGTCCCACCAGCGGACCTGAAAATTTTCCTACTTAAGCCTTTGCCCCCACCTGGGGGGATGAATCCATGGGTTTGCTATACTCAGAAGAGACCCCCTTAGTTTGCAAAGAGCTTTCAGTTTTTCAAGTTAAAGGGCTTGTAGACTGCCGTGCACTCTCCCAATGAAAATGACAGTTTTCAGAAAAGGATTGTTATTTCAAGTGATCCTCCCACCCCTTCAATACTGGTCATAGCCAGTTTTCTTACTCCTGGCCTACTGGAAGGGGCAGTGAAGGTGAAGAAGGGATTGACCTCTACAAGGGCACCATGCTCGTCCAGCCTAATTGCTTTACCCTCTACCACCCAGAGACCCAGAGCCAGAGCCCTGGCCCAGGGGTCTCAGCCAGTGAACCTAAAAATGCTGTTTGTCATCTCAGGAGGGTGGGGACAAGCTTATGACAGGTTGGTAGTTTATAAAACAAAATGCCTGAGTCATCCTTAAGGATGGCCATCCCTAGACACAAAGGAATTTCTCCTTCCTGAGAGACACTCACCATATTCAGCTGCTTCATAGCCACAGGCAAGGTTGCCTGTGGCTATGACCAAGAAGGATGCTGTGTGGCTGGTACACATACCCAGGCAAGGGAGGGAAGGGTGCGAGGGGAGCTGAAGGAAGACATGGGATGGATACGGTTGTTTTCCTCACCAGGGCTCAGAGAAGGGTGCAGCAAGGCCCACAGCGTTCAAGCCGGTGCTGCCGCGGTCAGGAGCCATCCTCCACTCGTCCCCTGAGAGCTCCAGCCACCAGCTGCACCCTGCCCCTCCAGACAGGCCCAAGGAACAGGAGCCAAAGCCCAGCCTGTGCTCTGGGGCGCTGTCTGACTCCGGCCGGAACTCCATGTCCAGCCTGCCCACACACAGCACCAGCAGCAGCTACCAGTTGGACCCGCTGGTTACGCCAGTGGGGCCCACCAGCCGTTTTGGGGGCTCAGCCCACAACATTACCCAGGGCATCATCCTCCAGGACAGCAACATGATGAGCTTGAAGGCTCTGTCTTTCTCTGATGGGGGTAGCAAGCTGGCCCACCCAAGCCAGGTGGACAAGGGTTCCTCATGTGTGCGTTGCCCCATCTCCACAGACGAGTGCACCATCCAGGAGCTTGAGCAGAAGCTGCTGGGGAGAGAAGGAGAGCTGCAAAAGCTGCAGCGCAGCCTGGAGGAGAAGGAGCTGCCCTCCAGCCAGGCCTCCGAAGAGCGGCAGTGGCGCTGCAAGGAGGGGCGGGAGGGCCTGGAGCAGAAGGGCAGCAGCAAGCCGAAGCAAGCCTCCCAGAAGAGCCAGCGCACGCAGCAGGGGCTGCACCTCCAGGTGCTCCAGCTCCAGCAGGAGAAGCGGCAGCTCCGGCAGGAACTTGAGAGCCTCATGAAGGAGCAGGACCTGCTGGAGACCAAGCTTAGGTCCTATGAGAAGGAGAAGACCAGCTTCGCCCCCGCGCTGGAAGAGACCCAGTGGGAGGTGAGGCTTTACCGTGTGGGCTGCGGGGGGTGGGGGTGGGGGGTCAGGTGTTTGATGCCAGTCCCCGTTTCTCCAGGTCCTAGCCCATGGTGTGTGAACACAAATTGCCTAAGCAGAGTGAGCCAAAGTGCCAGCCTTGGGACCCAAAGAAGGGGCTATGATTTGTGTGAGTTTCCTACTCTCTGCTACCCCAGGGCCTCATGGCCTCCAGAACTGAATTTACTAACTGAGTCACTGACTGAGAAGCTGGAACCAGGAGCACGGAGGCCTCACTGGGCAGTCCGAGGGCCGACCCACTTCCTCTTGCGGGAGGCTCAAAGGAAGCACAAGCCGTTCCTGAGCCTGAGTTCACACTGGTTCAAGAGACCACAAGAGAGCAGAGACCTTGTTACTTTTGAGAGAAGGTACCCCACCCACCAGGAAGAGTGACCTCACTTGGGGCAGGTATCACTGACAGAATGGCTCATTCCTCATAGAAGTGTAAGTGGGGCTTTGTTTGGTGGGCTGCAATGGAAACATGAGCAGGAGAAGGGCACATAGCACCTAGAAACGAGGCATCTGGACCTGGCTTTGCTGGAGAGCCTGCTTAGCTTCCACATCCTGCTCTCCAGAAGGTAGCTTTCCTCACCTGAAGGGCCTCTCAAGGTGGTACAGGGGGCGGGGGGCGCTGGTAGGGGTGTGGGCATGGTGGCTCTGGCATTCTCCCCAAAGACTCCTACCCTGGAAAGGAACTGAGGAGGCAATGTGTCTGGTCAGACCAGCGCCACCTGCAGGTGCTGGTGACACATTCTCAGCAGCACAGCTTCCTATATGCCCTGCAGCTTTCTGTACGTACTCTGGAAATTGGAATGACAAGTGTTATCAGGAGTAGAGGAAAAGGATCCTTTCTATGGCAGAGATGAACAGGGGGACTGGACAGGTGAGAAGGGAAAGTCGCTTGTGTTTGCCAGGTCTCCCAAAGAGGAAAGGATGCTGACCGTGGGAGCAGTGCCTGTCCGCTTTCCCATTGATGTTGGCAAAGCAGATCCCACCCCAGCCATTGTTTTTCAGCCAGGGCTCAGGACACATTGGGGCAACTCAGAGATATAAGCTAGTCCTGGCGCTAGGCATCCATCCTTATTTGCCCAACCCCCAACTACGCTGGGCATTGCCGTGACCTCATTCCCAGATTGTCCAGTCAGGCTGTACAGCAAAACAATAAAAAAAATAAATATTTAAAATAACACGTAAATATATTACAAACATATTTAGAATGATAATAATTTATCAAGTGTTTATTAAGTGCCAAGCCCTAGGTTCTCCCATTTTATCCTTATAATAACCCTATGAAGTAGGTACTGTTACTAATCCTTAATTTAGTTAAGGAAACTGAGGCAAGTTAAATGACTTGCCCACGGTGGGTCACCACATAATAGGTATCAGAGCCAGGATTTGATCTCAACACTTTGGCTCCAGAGTTCACGTTTTTAATCACTACTCCATAGTACCACAACACCAACATAGTATATCGCCAGGACCAGCCAATCATATCATATCATATATGATCCAGCCAGGACTCAAAGGCAGGCCCATGGCCCAACCATGACTATATGTTGCTCCCTCCATGAAACAAATACAGGCTTGGTCTTAGAAAGGCATCCTTGGTCCCACACAAGCATTGTGGGTAGAGCTCTGCATTGCTTCATAAGTGGCTCATGAGCACAAGGGGTTGGGGGTTACTACTGTGAGTGAAGTGAGGAGAAATTAAGGTGGCTTCTGGTCTTGATCCAAGAATCCATTCTATAGAGGCCCAGGCCCTGACCTTCATTCTGTCCAGCTTTCCCACAGGCCGGCAGGAGAAAAGTCATTCTTGTGACACGGCCGGCCAGACTGGTCTTGATCTTCTTTTGAGCCACCTATGACCCCAAATGACCAAGACCCCGGAGACCCGTGGATCTGAATCAGTGCCTTTGGATTTGTCTGCTGCTCTTGGCCAACTTTTGAAAAGAAATAAGAATAGAAAGGGTGGAGGGGCAGGGCAGGGGGAGAACATAGTAGCTCTCCGTGTGGCAGATCTGAATTTGACACCCTGAGCCAGGTGTGTTGCTTGTCATTGGAGTGCAGCGGTTAATGATTGAAGACAGTCTTTATCCCAGTAGGGAGAGAGGGGAGCTGGGTGTGCACAGGGGTGAGGTCAGAGGATATGGGCACAAACATGAATCATAGAAGTTTGGCAGACACAGAAATCAATATCATTGATTGTTAAGTGTGGATGGTGGAGCTATGAGTAGTGGTCACTGATTTACACATAGCCGTGGGTTTGGGTACAGATTGAGATTTAGACTCTGATTTGGGATTGAGGCAGGCATGTGGACGGACCAAGTCAGGCTACAGAATGAAAGGAAGCTCAGAGAGGGGCTCGGCCTTCATGGGTCACCCAGACCGTCATGCTCCTGAGATACCGTGTCAGGACCAGCCTAATTCTTTAGGCACTTAAGATGTTACTTGCCCCGGGTAAGGACCTCTTACATCTTAGCACTTTCTCTTCTCCCCCACCCAACCCTTGGCAGGTGTGCCAGAAGTCAGGTGAAATCTCTCTCCTGAAGCAGCAGCTGAAGGAGTCCCAGACAGAGATCAATGCCAAGGCTAGTGAGATCCTCAGTCTGAAGGCGCAGCTGAAGGACACACGGGGCAAACTGGAAGGCATGGAGCTGAAGACTCAAGATTTGGAGAGCGCTTTGCGCACCAAGGGCCTAGAGCTAGAGGTCTGTGAGAATGAGCTACAGCGCAAGAAAAATGAGTCTGAGCTTCTCCGAGAGAAGGTGAACCTGCTGGAGCAGGAGCTGCTGGAGCTGCGGGCCCAGGCTGCCCTGCAGCGGGATGCTGTGTCTCTGGGGCCAGGACTGGGGCCTGGGCCAGGGACTACTTTCTCTGAGGACATCCCCGCCCTGCAGCGGGAGTTGGAGCGGCTGCGTGCAGAGCTGAAGGAGGAGCGGCAAGGCCACGACCAGATGTCGTCAGGCTTCCAGCATGAGCGGCTGGTGTGGAAGGAGGAGAAAGAGAAGGTGATCCAGTACCAGAAGCAGTTACAGCAGAGCTACCTAGCCATGTACCAGCGGAACCAGCGCCTGGAGAAGGCTCTGCAGCAACTGGCCCGTGGGGACAGTGCAGGGGAGCCCTTTGAAATTGACCTTGAAGGGGCCGACATCCCCTATGAGGACATCATAGCCACTGAGATCTGAGGGGCCTACCGGGAGAGGGAGAGCCAGGGATCTGGCATCGGGAGGCAGGGGTACAGAGCCTGTCATGGAGGGCTCCTCTCCCCACTCCCCTGCTCAGTAACTCAGGCCTCTGTGAGAGGCCTTCCCCAAGGCACAGACTGGGATTCTCCAGGGGAGGGGGGGGAGGAAGGACTGCTACATAACCTTGGCAGCCCTTGCCCACATTCCAGCATTTACCATCCCTGCAGCCCACCAGACCTCTAGCTTTCCTAAGAGACGGGTTCAGGGATCTCCATCATTTGGTTAAGAGGTCTCTAAACCTTGCCTTTTGTTCAAAAATACTTAGACCCTCTCCCAGGGATGGTGGTAACTGCCGTATTGGCCGATGGCCACCCCAGGACAGAAGCTCCCTTTTGCCTCTTCGCACAACTGCTTTTTTTGCCCCTGGACACATTGGGATGGCTTGAGAGTAGAAAGAAGCCATCTGTGATCATAAACCTTAGAACCTGACCCGGTCATAACCTGAGCTGTTTTTCTCTGGCCTCAGAGTTGTAGGGGTTGGATTTTGGTATGGAGAACCTGGCTTAGCAACATCAGAGCTGTCCCAATCCTAGAAAGCCACAAAAAGGAGGGGAAATCTGGGGCAGCCCAGGAATGTCTAGACTCAGCAAAGCCCAGAGGGGGTCAGAGGGAGAAGCCAGGTAGTAATGGCCAGACCCTGCTGGGCCCTGCTAACTGAAGGTAAGCAGCCTTTGGACAGCTGGTAGCCATTGAGCTCAGTGACCACTCTTCTTAAAGCCATAGACACTGAGGTCCTGGGGAGGGGAAGATTGTGACACAGGGAAGCTGTGGTTTTCCAAATTTCCCTGGGACAGCCTCCAGATCTTTCCTCATGGGGCTAGAGGTAGGGGTGCCCCCACGTGATTTAAATTGGCCAGTGGCTACTCTGAACTTACTTTCTTCTCAAGAATCCAGCCTTTGCTGGATCCAGAATAACCTATATACGACGAAAATGGCGCAGGGATGATCTGACATTTCCCTCCTTTGCCTGTGGCTCAGTTGAGTGGCACACACTTTCCCCTTTGCATTTCCAGTGCTAAATTCAGACAAGACTCCTTACAGGTCAGGAACAATCCCAGAATTTGGTGGGCCAGAGTCCCAGGCAGGGAGAAGAGACACAAATACAGCCTAATGAACAGCCCCAGGGCCACTGGCTAGCTTCCCTCCACCTGGGCCCCACAGGAGCCCCCAGTTGTAGAGAATCCAGAAAGCTTCAGTTTGCTAGGGGCTGGGCCAGTGCCTGGGGGAGGCTGGTGTTTCTCGTCTGAAGATGTGCAGAGCTGGGGGAGGAGAGAATGGTGGGGTTTCTTACTTGGTTGCTTGGTTCAGAGGGACAAAAAAAAAATTTTTTTTAGTCTTCTTTCTTTTTTTCTTTCTTGTCTTTTCAGAAGCAAGCCAGATCTAGCAGGCAGCCAGAACTGTTCCAGGTTCTATTTTTGACTCAAGCTACAGCTGTTGTTCTTTCTTAGGACAGCCAAGCCTTGCTAGATTCCTGAGCTTCATGCCTGCTTGCTGAGAGGGGTTCACTGAGGTAGGAGAGATGAGAGAGTCTGGGTATTTAGCAGTCTGAGACCAAACCCCCTGGTTCTGCCTCCCTGACCACAGTCCTTACAGGACCCAGAGTGGGAGTGGGAGCTGCTTCTTGTCACCTCCCCCCCCCACCCTTCAGAGCCACCGCATTCTTTCCCTGAGTCGGGCTGAGAGCAGGGCCATCTTCCCTGCATTTGGCTCTGCCTTCTGGTCCCTGGGGTTAAGCTGTGCCCATGACAGAGGAGCTTTTCTGGAATTTCAAGCCACTGGTCTTAGTCATAGGGCAGATTTAAACCTGAAATGGATAGGCTAAACGTCCCCTTCCTGCCTGGAGGGCAATGCCCTCCATTGGGCACAGTGCAGGCCCTCAAGTCAAAAATGTCCCATTCCCTCTGCCACACTGTTAGAGGGTGGGAGAGGGATGGTAAAATATCTTTCAACTGAGAAGGCACTTTGAGACCAGAAAACAAAGTGGGTGACTCCATCCAGTTTACAGAGTTTTATTCAGGGTAACTTACTGACAGGGAGAATCGGGTGGAGGATGGTCCAGGCACTGCATGCAGTTATTCTCCACAAAGTCTGGACCTTCATCCACAGATTCTATAAAGCGAGGGGACACACAGGAGGGCATTACAGTGAGATTCAAGGGTTTGCATGCACCTAATGGACAGCTAACCTTTAATTAGATCTGCAGCACCGCCTGTGCCTCAGGAAAGACTATGTTCTCTTTAGCAGATTCATGGGAGGCCTAACAGCCTCCCCCAATCCCAGCCTCCGAAGGTATTTCTAAGGTATGTATGTTAACCTCCCAGGGGCCCAGAACACAGCCCCAAGAGAGGTCATCAAGCAACACGAGCAAGATGGAGGGCCCACGATGGAGTCCGTACTGTCAACTGTCAGCACTGCTACACACAGCGCTCAGCCTGGGCCTTGTTTGAGTTCCTTTCCCCAGTGAGACCGCCATGAGATAGAGGGGCTGCTGCTCCCCACCCAGGCTGGAGATACCCCACTGCTCTCCACCCCCAGAGAGCAGCCAAAGCCCTGTGACCTGCCCTCTAGACCTTGCTGAGAAGAGATGGGTGCTAAGCCCAGGGGAGGACACTCAGGGGCAAGGTCTGTGCTCCACCATGGTGTGACCATACCAAGCACTCTGCATCCCTGCCTAAGGCCAACCCGTGAATGCCCCCCCCCCCACCAGCTGAAGGCTGCAGGGTGGCCCACAGTGGCACCAGAGTGCAACAGTGTCCTGTAACATAGTGATCTTACCGCCATGTGGTTTTTCTTCCCTTCCCTATGGAAAAAAACATCCTTACTATTCCCGGACCATGCCAAACCCAGCCTCTCCAGAAGGAGCCTCTGAACAACAGAGGCTGAGCGGGGACTGGGAAGTCAGATGACAGGGGCTTCAGAGCAGACGGCCTGGCCCAGGGCCAGCCAGCATGAGCTCGCTGCCCTTCGCTCTGAATACTCCTGCCGGCATGCTTGCTCATTCAGTCAGATCGACCTGCTCTGCTCTTCCAAAGGATGCCCGGCCTGAAAACGCTCTGCCTGCCTGCAAAGAGAGAGCAGCACCCGGTACCACCTCGCCAAGAAGGGCACTCTGCCTCCAGGCCTTGCAATGACCAGAGTCTCTCAGGGCTCCCCCTGGGGCATGTCTTCTGGCTGCTGGGTCATTCAGGTAACTGCTGCTGGGTGCACTCTGGCCCCCATAGGCACTGAGCTCTACAGGGCCTGGGGAGGGTTAGCTCTCCTCTGAGAAACACTTGCTGACCCTCTGCTCCTTGCCCTACTCTTGTCCCGGCCCAGCCTGGGCCATCTCTTGCTGATGGAGCCGCAGCTTTGGGAGAGGGCTTTCCCTATGGGTCCTGAGTTCTCCTAAACCGGAGCTGCCATGGCAGGAGGCTGTGCACCCTGTCCAGTGGGCGCTTCTTGCGTGGTCCATCTTGTGCTGAGTCTGCAGGCAAAGCTGGAACCTCCAGCCAAGGCTGGCTTTGGATAGACTGGCATTTGGAAGAATATGTACATAGTTATTTTTCTCTGGGTTGTTTCTTGTTTTGTTTGTTTTGTTTTGTTTTTTGTTTTTTTTGTTTGGTTTTGTTTTTTTGGTTTTTTTTTTTTTTTTTTGAGTTGCTTTTGACAGCTTCATTTTATTTTTGATGCCCCTTCTTGGCCATGTAAACTATCTCTGATAATTTTATGTTTCTATTTATGAATAAAGAATGCCATTTCTCATGCCCTCCAGAGCTACTTTTGTCTCCTCAAGCTACCCTGCTTCTCCGCTATGGTATGGCAGCTCCTTGGGGCGCCTCCATCTGGAACAGGAAAGGTGATGTCTCTCCCTGCCAATGAAGGAAATGCAGACAGCCTTGATGAAGGCAGTGTTGGCCAGGGGGAAAGCATGGGCCTTGGCATCAGGTAGACTTCCAGGCAGTCTGTACCACTCTCCAACCCTGTAGTTTTATCTGTGAAATTGACCCCGAGGAAGGAGAAAAGGAGACGAAGGGACATGGTTGTCTGTAACGCACAGGGTCCTCTCCAAAAGAGAACTCCTTCCCAAGCCCCAAACTTAGGCCTCCCCTCCCCCACTGTCTAGCTGCTCACCTCACCAGCCAATTCCTTGACCCATTGACTCCAGCCTCTTTGGCAGGAGACCTGAATGACTATTGTTGCCACTACCTCCGGGCCTCGCCTCTGGGAAGGTGTGGTCACCACGGTGGCCATCTGTCCAGTCTTCTCCATGCCAACCTGCCTTGTTCACCTGGACAAGCATTCCCAACTGCTCTGGGCTCAAATCCTACACTCAAAGGGCTTCCACTCAGGTGGCAGGAGACAGAAGGGACATGTACAAAGGAAACGGAACATATGACGGATAAATGGCAATGCCTCTGAGGTGGGACAAATCAGGGTCTCTAGGGAAGGTGGCAGGCAGGAACGGGTCTGGGGGACCAGTATGGGACAGAAGAAGAGTGAGCAGAAAGGGAAAGACAGGATGGACATCCCAGGACAGGCATTCCCACCAACCTGGGGCTTCCTGCCTGTCTATGCAGGTGACAGGAGCAGCACTGGAGGTTGGAGAGGCAGGAGGCCAGGGTGCGGTGGACCTCCAAACTCAAGGAGGGCCAGGCAGCTGAGAAGTGAGCAAGCCAGGACAGGAGCCTGCATCTGTCTAATCCCAAGGCCCAGCACTCTGACAAATGGGTCGTATCAGCCCTGGAATAACCCTTCTTGTTCTTTGTCCTGAGCTCGCTCATGGCGGGGAGGCTGTTGCATTGGTGACACCCACTGAAATAGGCCTCCCACTAATCACACCCCGCTTTGGCCCCCTCCCTTTTAGTTCTGGCGGGCCCTAGGACTCACATTCACCAATCGAAGTCAGTAGAAGTGAGGCTCCACCAGTTCCAGCCCAAGCTTAGAAGGCAGCCTAAGCTTGGGAGCTTCCAATTTTATATTCCTGGGGGCCCTGCGCTGCCATGTACAAAGCCCCTCTAGTCTGCTGGAGAGACCTCATGGAGCAGGAGGGCTCCTGTTGCCCCCGCTAGGCTCCAGCTAAGTGGAGTTGATCCATCAGACCCCATGGAGCAGGGATTTGCTTCCTCCACTCTGCCCTTTCACAATCCTGACCTCAGAACCATGAGCACATTAAATGCCAGTGTTTTTAAGCCACTAAATTCAAGGTGATTTCTTATGTGGCATAGAAATAGATAACCAAACACTCTCTGGTGACCCCCCCTTACTTGCCACTTCAACAAGACTCTCTCTGTCTATTGGGCTAGGAGTAATAGAAACGGCTCCTGGGAAGGGATGGGGCAATGGAAAAGACTGCTTTAGTGGCAGGAAGGGCAGCAAAGTAGGGAGCAAAGCCTTCTCCCTGCCCATCTTCCCCTGGAGTGCTGTTGAGGACATAAGCCTTTCTTAAGCCCCCAAACCTACTTACTATTTTAGAAAAAAAAAGATCAAAAGGGAAATGAGAGTGGGAGAGAGAGAAAAAGAAAAAGGGAGAGAGGGGCTCCTCCTCCCCTGAGGCTAAGCAGCTGAGCTTCAGCCTGGCCAGCACTGGGAGCAGTCCCAGGGTTCTCATGAAGCCATGAATAGAGTATGCACACTGGTGCCTGTGAGGGGTGGGGGGAGGCAGAGTGGCCACGTCTCCAGGCGGCCTCCACAGCAGGTGCTTTCTTTTTCTTTCTTTCTTTTTTTTTTTAAGATTTTATTTATTTATTTGCCAGAGAGACACAGCAAGAACGGGAACACAAGCAGGGGGAGTGGGAGAGGGAGAAGCAGGCTTCCCACCGAGCAGGGAGCCCGACGCGGGGCTCGATCCCAGGACCCTGAGATCATGCCCTGAGCCGAAGGCAGACGCCTAACGACTGAGCCACCCAGGTGCCCCCAGCAGGTGCTTTCTAAGCTACATGAAGAAGGTCAAGCTGCCTCCAACTTTCTCTCCAACCCAGGCATCAGAGGGCCTGAAATATCACCATTTCATTCACTCATGTATGCATACATATATTCATTCAACAAATATTTATTGAGCTTCTGTTTTATGCCAAGCCCTGTTCTAGATACCAGAAATACAGAGGTGAACAAAAATAGTGAAGGGCCTTTCTCCTCATGGAACTTATACTCCGGAAGTAAATAAAGCAGATGATTTTCAATTCAATCAGATAAGTGCCATGAAGGAAAGAAACAGGATGATATAAGCCGGCTGGGCACAGGTGGTGCTACGTGGAAGGGTGGCATGGGGGAATTCGGTACAGGGAAAGGAAGGTTGGAGAACCAAAATGTCTTCTTATTTCAACATTTTGGGAGCATGTGCCAGTCAT